CCTCCAGGAACACGTCGCGCATATCTATGTCCACGCATCTATCGCCATTCGTACCAGGGCGCGCCCTCTGTTGCAAAAGTGCTTCATTTCGAAGAAGTTCAAATAGTATACGATCAGGTCCTTTGTAGATGTACTTATAGATGTACTTGAAAGCCGTAATCGAACAGCAGCACTCCACGTTGACATGACACATATATTTACGCAAAAGGTACGCGTTATAGGGAATAACATCTGCATTCGATACATAATTCATCTTCGTTCTTCCGACGGGTGCCGTTCTTCCATTATCTCTTCTCCGATACAAGGGATACCCGTCATCGGTAAGCTCAGTGTACTCCCGAAATGGTTTTGGAAAGTGCTTATCGCAAAACGCTGGATCCTTCACACGGCATGCAAAATCTGGGCGTGTCTTGCACGGGCGGTGCACCATGAACCGAGTGACCAACTGAAAAAGCTGCAGCTTCTCTGCAGCATCAGAGTCATCACGGGATGGGTATTGAGGAAGTTCTGCAGATATCCATGCATCAATCTTGTCAGGAGTGTTGAGCTTTTCTTTCAGGGTGACTAGTATATGTGCGTGCGGCATTCCACGTTTCTGGAATTCCACGCTATACTGTAAAGCAACGACTTCTCCGAACATCTTCTTATCAATGATCTCTTTGATGAGACTCTGCAAGCGTAGTCTGAACACTCGTACACAAAGTAGAGGATCAGTAATCCATGAATCGAACTTAGTTACAAGATTTTCGCGGATCTCCGGCCAGTCCTGATTGCCAGTAAAGGTGATAAAGAGGTCCGGCTTGCCCACGCGTTGAGCAACGGCCATAGCGTTATGGTATAGATTGTCGTACCACTGCGTGCTACCGATAAAATTTTGAGGTAAATTTACAAGTTTTCCAAGCTTGAATCCCTTTTCTTGCAACTGTTGATCGAGGTAAGAGTAGAGTGCTGTCGCTTTGCAACTTCTGAGCTCCACAGTGTTGCGGGCAATGGCATTGAGCTGATCTGCTTCGATTCTGCTGAAAGCATGGATGACATACTGCGACAACAGTTTACCAGTGCCGTAGAAACGATGCTCCAGTAGATTCCCACGACGTGAAAGCAGAAATCTGTAGAAATCACCGCGGGATAAGAACTTAGCAGGAGGACGGTCCATCAGCTCATCTTCGCTGTCGTCATCGGAGGGAAACGATGATGCAGCAAGACCTCTGACATTAGCTTCATTAGATATATCCGAGGCGGGGCGTTTTCCTGTGCGCTTGCGCAAGCTTTCACGAACATAACTCTGTTCACCTCTCGGGAAATACAAGGGATATGACATCGCATCGATGTTGTTATTGAAATGAGCGGCGGTGGATTTTCCTCCTCTGCTAAAAATTCGCAAACCTTTGTTGAGCTCATCTTCAGAAGGTAATACACCATTTCGGCAGATGTAAATAGCGGCAACCTGATTCTCAATCTGCGGTATGTTCAATCGTCCCTCATGAGTCGAAGATAGTGAACTTTGCGGCGCTTCACGGCTGTGTTTCAAATTCATTAGAATTGTAGGTGGCACGTCGTCATCGTTAAGCTTTGCTGCAGCAGCCTCAGCTAAGTAGACTTCATACATGGAGTGGTAGGATTGCGCTATCACATTGATCTCTCGCAGAGTAGCGATTACTTTCTCAATCACTCTGTACTCGATTTTGGTCTTCCACTGAAGCATGGTTTCCTTTATCGATCGTCTACGATTGTAATCGTCACATATGTAAAGCTGAGCAAATGATGCGGTTTCTGAGTGTGGATTCAAGTGACAAAGCCCTACATCGACCGACCCTTGCACCACTAATGGTAATTGCCCGCACGTAGTGCTGAAATTGCTCAAATTCATGCTCAATCCAGCGAAGGCAACAAGATTATTGAGAGCGCGAAGCATAGAGTAGAGCTTTTCATACGATCT